ATATCATGTCCGCCATGCGGGTCAATTTCCACTCTGCAATGATAGTCTGTTGATCAGATCCCTAATCGTGCCCGCTGACTCACACAGGTTCAGGAGGTGCTCGCCCCGCCGCTGGTCACTCGGATCAGTAGCATATTTTGTGAGGTCGTTTGACAAGGTCTCCGCAACGTTGGTAGCTAGTTGCATTTTCCTCAATCAGTTTCAGTTCTGAAAACGAACCTGTTCAAGCAATGAAAATATTGGACTCTTACCACTCCTTTGATTGTCAATGACGCCGCTAATGACTCTTCTTGCAATATATCTAGATATCAGTCCCCCGCTATCGTCATGCTGCGTGCGATAGTAATTTACCGAATGCTGGTCGATATAGAACCTGAACGCATTTATCTCGTCTCGAATCATACTGTCTTCTGGCGGCTGATTGTCATAAATAACTCCCAACTGCGAAATGCGTCGATTCTGATGTCCCCGGCTTTGTTGTGCAGAAGCTTCTCGGAGGGTCCGACCTCTTCGTGCAGCTTCTCCTGCGGTCTGACCCCTTCGTGACGGCGCTTTCGATCCTACTTTTGATGCCTGCCTCGAGTGTCTCCTGGTGTGTGCTTGGGATTGCGGCCTTGTCTGCTTTCCAGCTCCTTGGGGACCTCTCTGAGATGGCTCTGCTGTTCCTGATCGAGACTTCACTGAACGATCCAAGGGGATGTTGGCTGACGGGCTGTCATCTTGAACTTTGCTTGACCCACATCCCATAGTAAAGGTGTTCGCTTCTCATTTAAAAATTGAGACATATGTCGGGAACCTGTTCCGTGAAAATATGGTAGGTATTTTTCTTTTCCTTTCCTTTCTCTTCTTTTTGGACATTCTGTGAAATGCCAATGTGTGTGGCCATTCCCAGTCATAGGGGCACACCGGAAATGGCATCATTAGGGTTTGATCCCGCTTGCTCTTTAGCCTCTGTCTCCGTATTGATTCAGGAGCGGCAGCAGTGAGATCAGGCCAACGCCGTACGGGGCATCCCACCCTGCAGAACCGGAACCGAAGAGGGGAAAAACTTGGTAGTAATCAACTAACAAACTAGGGGGTTCCATGCTGAAGTTTCATTATTGTCTTTTGACACATAAGATACTTGTTTGAATTCTCAGGCTTTTGTGCATCTCCCGGGCCATTCGCTCCGTGTTGTCAAAACCGTCACAAACCCAGCAACATGCTATCGTAGCACACCATCCACCCCGAAAAAGCATACCTGTCGTACATGTGGCCACGATCCATTCTACGCTGCGACGCCCGGGAAAGATGATTACCAAAATAGGAAACTGTCTTTGTGATTGACATGCGCTAAACGTAATAGACGTGACGCCTCTAGGGACCAAGGATGTTTGGTCATGGGGAAGTATTCATCCACTGACCTGAGCATACATAGCGGCGTCTCTGTTGCATGCAGTTGGTTGGTGCTGCGCTATTGAATTTGGTCCGCTAGTAAGGCGGTTGGGGTCTATTGCCGCTGTATGCTAGGGCCTTTCCATCTGCATTTCCTGCAGCCAGCCTGCCTGCCCCAGTGCCAGCCGCCCCATCTAGCCAAATTTTCCTGTTGCGACGAGAGAGCCGCTGCGGCAGAAAACAATGCAAATATGTCGACCCAATCCTCCACGGATGGGTCCGAGCGTGGGACATCCTTTTGCCAGCTGAATCATTGGAGTCTCAGTGGTGATTCGGGAATTTATCCGGCGTCCCGCTCGAAGTCTAGACGATCCGCACCAGAACTACTCCAAGGTGTGACTGTTGGACCCGGGCGTAAGTGAGATGCTTACGCCCATTCTTTACTCCACGGCTTTCCATCGCCTCGCTACTACCTACCCCGGATATTTTCCCCTTGGATTATCCATATCTTTCGTTCAACATCCAAGATTGCCAATCACCCTTTCTCATTCCGACAACGCAACGCTACAATACCGCATAATGGCCAATAGACAGGCTCAAGGCACTACATCCTCTAAAACTCCAACCAAAGCCACGCCTGGACCATGAGCAATTAGCTGGTG